GCAGCAAGGGGATTGATACCCAAATACTGGCAGGAACAGGAGGCACTGAAAATAAAAAAAGACTGGATAAAAAGGGTAAATTATATTTATAAGATGGAGGAACTGTATCATATTAAAGAAGACAAAATAGAGCGATTTAAAAAAAGATGGGAAAAGTGGGATGGGTTTAAAAGATCAAATAAAAATGTTGAATGGTAGGATTAGACAATGATGAAAAGAGAGGACAAGTATTACAAAAGATGGGAAACGGGAGGCAGGACAATAGGGAAGACGAGAGGGAAATCCTGAGAATAATAAAGGAAGAGAAGGAATTTGGAAAAATAGGGGAAAAGAAATGGGTAGGGGTGGTTGGGTGGGCTCAATTGGGATTGGGTAGGGGGATTTTGGGTGCAATGAGAAAAGGAAAAAAGTTTTTATTTGTATTGTTGAATGTGATAATTGAATTTTGTAAAACTGAGATATTGAAACTAATAAAAACAATAAAAAAAAAAAACTGGTATCATATCTGTTCTGGTGTCATGGGTTGCTGCAATACAGTGCCATCCACTGAGAACACAAATGCAAAAGAACAGTAGGTACTAATCACAAGCCATGAATGGTTATGTGTCCAAGTAAAAAAATGCTAAAAAGGAAAGTTTTTTTTTGTTCATGGCCGGGCATTAGTGGCTCATTCTAATATTAATGGGCTTGCCTAATGTGAAATGCCGAAAAAAAAAAAAAATTGCAACGTGCCTTTAAGACTGAAAATGTCTGACAAAATGACAGTTTTTAAACATATAGATAATCATATGAAATCGCGCCTTTCATTCTAAATACCACATTCATATGAGGCGAGCATCTGTGTGCCCTGTGCAGGGCCATCATTTCTCGGCACAGGGATGCACAGGTTTTGTATGCATCCCCATGCTGGGGTATCACGGTTGTCCACTGGGACTTGTGGCTGCACGGAGAAATTTGTATTTAGACGTTAATGACCTCACAGCACAAAGGGGTTAAGCAGGGAAGTCAAGCCCCTCTATGTATTTATAGCACCAGCAAAACTATAAAAAGAAAAAACCATCAAAAGAAGTCCGGGTCTTAGCAAAAATAACTTAACAGTAAGCACTGCAATAAAACCACAAAATAGGAGCTCAATGAAATTACAATTGGATTTCCCTTAGGGCTTAATATTCTTTTTGTTATAAATTGTGACCAATTTTCAAATACTAGTTTAGAAAAATGCTTTTATATTAAATATACAATATATCTGTGTGAAAGACAGTACAATCAGCATCATTGCTGAAATACTGTTGCAAGAAAATCTGTTACCTTGCTAAAGTATAATTCCAGCCTGTCCATTGAGGTAAACAAAGCAGTTAATTACAATCACTATGGGACCCTACAAGGTGGGGAAGCACAACATGTATATATATGCCATTACAAACAGGACTATTACGGGTCCTTTCTAAACTGTAATCCCTACTGCCTTTTGTTTTATTGTCTTTTACATTAGAAAAATATTTGCTTTGTTGATCATTTCCTTAAAGTAAAATGTAGAAATAAGTAGGGTTGCACCAATACTGATACTGTACATTTACATGAGTATTGTTACTTGTGCAAATGCATGGATACAAAATCCGATACCTTAAGGGTTGGTTCTTTCAGCTGTCAGCGGGATTCCCCCGCTGACAGCTGAAATCTAAAAGAATGACAGCATTCATCGGTCATGGTCTTGTAGCCAATTCCAGCCTTGTGCAGGTCTACAATCATGTTCCTGACATCCATTGACAGCTCTTTAGTCTTACCCATGGTGGTGCCCAAGAGAGAGATTCTGTGGACAGATGTCTTTGATACACATAGCGAAGTGTCGTTAGGAGCACCTTCTTAAATTCACAGGGCTAATCTGTGTAGGGGATCAAATACTTATTTTACTCAATGAACTGCAACTCAATTTATAACATTTGTATCATTCTGTTTTTTCTGAATTTTGGTTGATATTCTGTCTCTATCATTTAAAATACATATATGATAAAAAGTTTTTTACCGCTTCTCAAACGCCTATGAAAATTCTGCAAATGGCAGTACACAGTGCTGTTCACACTGAAGTGTTAGCGCCGCATTGCATTGAGTCGCGGCACAACTGACGCCTCATGTTGAGTCAGGAGAACTTGAAGCCTCCCATTCAAGTCTATGGTGCCACTGCTCAAACGCCTAGCAGGCGTTTGCGGGGCGGTTGCGGAGTGTTAATACTATTTAACTTCATTATAGGCATTTGTGGTACGGTTTTAACGCTTGGCAAACACCTATCAAACACCTCAAAACCGCGCATAGGGCGTTTGGGGAGAATTTGAAGAGCATTAAAATCGCTTCCAAAAAAGGCCTGTCTACCACCTGTCAAACGCTATAGGGGCGTTTGGCAAGAGTTAGAAGTCAAGTGTGAACGAGCCCTTATGGTATGAGAGTATACATTCACCGGCCACATTATTAGGTACACCTTTTCAATTGCTTGGTAACACAAATTGCTAATCAGCCAAATCACATGGCAGCGACTCAATGCATTTAGGCATCTAGACGTGGCAAAGACGCCTTGCTGAAGTTCAAACGGAGCATCAGAATGGGGAAGAAAATGGAAAAGGGGATTTCGTTGACTTTGAACGTGGTGTGGTTGTTCACCTTTGCATTTTTTCTGAAATATAACAGCACAGCATGGAAGACCACCACAGCGACATCACTTGTGTTGGTACAGCGATGTCAGTTTTTGTTTGTTCATTCCGCTGGATTGAATAAAAAAAACAAAACAAATCAAAACAAAAAAAATAAAATAAAATAGTTGTGTGTACCAGTCTTAATTCAGTGCAGCATGCAGCCATTGTGCACTAATTGTTCTCTAACAATGCTTCAGTAAGGGCATGAGCTGAGCCCACCATGCTACTGAAAGTGTGTACAAGTCCTAAGAGTAGTGGAGAGATAAAGAACTTCATAATCTGTAAATGGGAGGAAGGAGTCTCCAAATACTCTGACAGTAGATATGGAATCTAGTCTGGCAATAATCCAACAATATGTCTACAAATCAACTGCTTTCTACGCATCTGACAGATGAGTGTTATACTGATCACACAGCTACAGCTCATATTGTGAAACAATGTTAGCTACAGCAATGTGTGTAATCTGCATGTTTCAGCCGGTAATTCCCAGCTGCGAGTTTCAGCCTGTATTTGTCATGGTTCTGTGTGTCTGAATGTTGCAGAGTTCCTGGAACGCATACCAGTATTTCCAATGTGCACCTATTTAACAGAAATATAACATAGTGCAGTTGAAAGTCAGTTTAGAAACTTTTGCTCAACAATTCATAATTTAGCAGCTTGCAGAAAGAATAATTCATGAAAATAATCAGACTTTTTCCTTATCAACACTTACGCATCTTGTTTTTTTTTTTAGATAAGTGGTTTCCCCATTCACCATGAAACTATAGCCACAAACAAAAAATTAAAAAATGTGTCTGCACTTATCTAAGCCCCACTGCAAAAATCGCACAAACACTTTTTGATCCTGCCAGTGTAATCTGCCTAATGCAGCTTTCTTTCATGGTATGGCAACAATGCTGCACTCCTCCTGAAGTCAGAGCAGAGTTGTCACCCTCATGTAGACTGTGCCTACTTCCTTATAAAGGCGTACCTCGGTTTACGAATGACTTGGTTATTGTAAATTTCGGTTTACTGAAAATCCATTGAAAATAATACCTCAGTTTACAAATTTTTTTTTGCAATACGAATGGATTAATTGGTTTTCAGTGCATTTACAAATTTATTTGTAATCATGTTCCTGTACAGTACTATGCCTTTAAAGTGCATTTATATAGTGTTTTGAACAGATAAGACTTTTTTTTACTTTTTTCTGACCTCCAGAACAGACTAATTGGTTTTCAATTCATTTACAAATTTTTTTTAAATCATGTCCCTGTACAGTACTATGCCTTTAAAGTGCATTTATATAGAGTTTTGAACAGATAAGACTTTTTTTTTACTCGTTCCTGACCTCCGGAACGGATTAATTGGTTTTTAATGCATTTACAAATTTTTTTTTTAATCATGTCCCTGTACAGTATTTATGCCTTTAAAGTGCACTGTATAAGAGTTTTGAACAGATAAGACTTTTTTTTACTTTTTTCTGACCTCCAGAACAGATTAATTGATTTTCAATTCATTTACAAATTCATTTTTAATCATGTCCCTGTTCAGTATTTATGCCTTTAAAGTGCACTGTATAAGAGTTTTGAACAGATAAGACTTTTTTTTTACTTTTTTCTGACCTCTAGAACGGATTAATTGGTTTTCAATTCATTTACAAATTTTTTTTAAATCATGTCCATGTACAGTACTATGCCTTTAAAGTGCATTTATATAGAGTTTTGAACAGATAAGACTTTTTTTACTCGTTCCTGACCTCCGGAACAGATTAATTGGTTTTCAATGCATTCCTATGGGAAACTGCGTTTCGGTTTATGAATTTTTCTCAATACGTAAAGTCCGCATTACATTCGTAAACCGAGGTATGCCTATAGTAGGATGAGAAAATGTTTCAGGGGCCGTAGCTAGTGGCATTGCCGATTCACAAGCCTGCAGCTTGTCAATCAGCACGATGCCATACTTAGTTGTGCCTACTGTTTTCAGTGTCTGGGAGGGGGAACATGAGACACAAATGGAGGACAATTTTGCTCAGTCAAGGCTTGTCCATGACATAGTAGCTGGATTCTGGATTTGTTTAGACTGTCACATAGAAGCCTGTATGCAGTTTAACTTGAGAAAACCTGCTTAACGATCTTCTACACAGGACACGAGGCTGAGGAATTCAAAATAGCCCTTACTTTAAGTACTACCTGTGTCTAATTACAATAGTGCCAGTAACATTACTGACATGTGCAGTATATTCAGGTACTTTCTTACTACTGCCAGTTTAAGAATCTATTGTTCTAGAAGTGACAAATTCTTAAAGAATTACTACCAGTTTTCAGTTTAGGAAACTGGCGGTAATTAAGACCAACTCCGATGTAGCGTACAGAGGTACACCAGTACTCGGAACAGGTTGTACCCAGAGGTGGACTGACCATTTGAAAATTCGGGCACTGCCCGAGGGCTCCGGGATCAGTAGGGGGCCCCATGAGATGCTCCTGGTACCTTTTTCATAGGCTTTTTTGAGTTTGGGCAAGGACACAGGGGCCCCATGATCCCCTATTGCCCGGGGGCTCCATTAATTGTCAGTCCGCCCCGGTTGTACCTGTGCTTTGAAGTCATGCATGTACAGAGCTGCATCTCCTGCCTCATTTACCTGTCGGTTGGGAGATTGCCCGGCCAAAAGCTAAATGAAAACAACATGACCGGGATGCCAAAATATGGACAGTACTGACATTTGTGAAATGACTCGTCACTAAGAGGGTGGATTCAAAAAGCCACTATTAGCCGAAATAGTGGCCATAGATCCACCCTCATCCATGCACCTCTTCCCAAAAGTGGAATGGGATTAATAGAGAACTAGCCTCAGCTCCCCATCAGGCTCCCCGCCCCTGGTAGAAGACTCCTCAGCCATGTGCCCGTCAGTGTAACTGGTGCAGTGGTTGGGGAAGAGGGAGGTCAGGAAGGAGTGTTCATTGTGGACTCTCCTTCCCCAGTGCAGACATGGACAATTTCATGTACCTGTTTACTATAGAGGTGTTTCATGTCCGAGGTGTACAACCACTTTAAATAGAAGCTATCAGACAAAGTGAAGCACGCTTAAAGTAAATGTAAAAAAAAATAAACATATCATGCCGTGATCTAAAGGAATTCAAGAACAGAGAAAAAACACAGTAACTGACATGTATCAGTCTGGAAAGGGTTACGAAAGCCATTTCTAGCTTTTAGTTCATGCCAATGCAGTGTGCGTTTGATCCATTTTGAAATGTGTTTTGAGTTTTTGATATGTTTTTTTCACACTTTTTTGTTGCGTTTTGTTTTTTGTTAGGAAAAATTTGTTTAATTTCATTTGGTTTATTCATTTTCTAACAAATTCCAAATTTTTGGAATGATTGGAAATTAGAATTGGTAGAAAATTGATCGACCAATCCGAATTCTGTGTAAAGAATTGCCGGTCTATAAGGAGTGGGCCACCGTGTCCTTAACAACTGTTGACTCATCAGCTGTCAGCAGGGTTCCCGTTGATAGCTGAATGCAAAAGAAAAAAAAAAAAACTTTTTGATAAAAACAAAAAAAACAAACAAAAAAAAAAAACTTTGTGCCCCCCCCCCCCCCCATCCATACCAGGCCAGGGGGGATTACACACCAGATGATTCCATACCAGACCCTTATCTGAGCATGTAGGCAGTCAGGCCAGGAAGAAGGGGGGGGACAAAAGTGCGCCCCCCCCAAACCATACCAGGTCACATGCCCTCAACATGGGGGGGGGTGCTGTGGATAATGAGGACAAGGGCCCCTTCCCCACAACCCTGGTTGCAGGGTGCAGGGGGTGACTTAGCAGAATCCGGAAGCCTACTCATTCCCCAAAAAATTGTCAAAAGAGTAAATACACCTACACGACAACAGTTTTTCCCCAAAAGAGATCCAACATCAATCACAATGAACGCCGCCACCACTGACTTGAACTAAATTAAAAAAAAGAGCTCCGCACCTGAAGAAGGCTCCTGCTACTGACAGCTCTTAAATATGCTAAGGGCCATCCGACGAGGTCACCGGGTGCCCCGCCCCATCATCGGCGGGGCATGCTGGCCTGTTATGGTTCTGGGGGGAACTCGCTCATCCCCCTCACTTTCCTGGCTTACCAGGCTGCATGCTCAGATAAGGGTCTGGTAAGGATAGCGGGGAACCCCATGCATTTTTTTTTTTTTTACTTGATGGCATTCTTTTTTTTTTTTTTTTTTACATTCAACAGCAGACAACAGAGGAGTCATCAGTTGTTAAGGACGCAGTGGCCAGCTTGCCAACCTGCTCCTTAGCAACCAGAAATTCTTTACACAGTATTGGGCTCGGCCAAGTAATTTTCGACCGATTTGAATTCCAATTGTTCCAAAAACATTTCAACAGCGTCTCCATTGAAATCTATTGAACCAAAAACACTCCGATTTGCATTTAAAAAAGTCCCTGACCCTTTCCAAAAATATTGCGGCTGAAAAACATAGATGTGAATGTGTCCCATAGGAAACCATGTTAAATGGACTGTAGTGCATCGCTGCACATAGCAAAAAGCAAGAAAAAAATATAAATTTAAATAAATATATATATATATATAATATTCACATGATGGGGTTTTGAATAATATCAGCGATCCACAAAAATAATTCACACACAAAGTGGCTCACAAGTACACATTTGAATATTTTTGCTGTAGGAAAGGAGGTGAATATTTAAGACAGAGTGCAGAGATGTTCGATTCCCATCACCCAACTCCTGGGACGGGTAGCTTTTTTCTACCTTTAGCTCTGCTGCGGGACCCCCAACCCCGTCACCCCCTCCCCCCGAAGGTCTCCCGGGCTCCGTTTGTCCATTTGTGGGCCCGGGACCAGCTCACCGCAGTCAGCTAGAGGGGAGAGAAGAGAGTGGACACGTCAGCTCCTCACCCCTTTTTAGCTGGTTCTGACCCAGAGGTGACGTCACTTCTGGGTCCCCATTGAGAGATTCCCGGCCATGGAAGCCAGGAAAGAATATAATGCGGTGCGATGTGCACTGCATTACATTCACTGGATCACAAGGGAGACATGCAGGACTTTTAGACCCTGGATGCCTCAATAAAGAGAGCCCTGCCACAAAAAAAAAATCATCAGATAGGGGACTTTTTTTTATCTGGACAAGTAGATTGGGGCATCGATTTAGTCGCTGGACAAGTAGTTGTTTCAAAAATTTCCACACCTCAGAGAGTGGATTCTTCTTTTTTTAATTTACAGAGGGGCATGGGAAAAACAGCCCACAGTCAAGCCTTAAGCATCACACAACGCCACAACTGCAGTCAGAGGAAAAATTGCCCAACTAGCTGATCAGTATTCATAAAAGTGCATCATACATAAATATTATTACAGACAGCATGCCGTCTTGGAAGAAAAGGACAGGAAATAAGGCTGCCAACAAGATCTGATTAAATTAATGTAGCAGAGAGGATCCCAAAGACTGCGGCAATGATGTACATCTTGCTGTCAAACCACACAAATTTAGCCTGGCTATAGGAAATGCCTTTACCCTGTCTGTAGGGAAGCTGTTCCATTCTTGGCTATAAATATTTACTGATGTGTACAGTGGAGTAAAGATGGAGCAGATCACAGCAGCACCCCATTAGCTGCACATTTCCCTTTGTGTGCTAATTACTTTTAGGTAAAGGCTTGGACTGCGGCCAAACTAGAAACCTGAAAAGTCATGAAGCACACCATATACAGAGCACATGCATACAACGACGTGCATACTACATTTACTAGATGATCTAATCAGCATCCCACAACTCAATATGTCAAATCAATAAAAACAACATAGCAAAAATTAGGTTTTTGCTGCAATATTCACCTACTCTGTGGCCTAGCCCTTCTGCAGATTTACCATTCCAGTAGTCCAGCGCTGATCCACTTCCAGGATGAGTGACAGCCAGTGCTATTCGACCCACTTCCTGTGAGCCCAGGCTGTCATGGACACACCCCTGAGAGTGCTTTTGTCACATTGGCCTGGGTGCACAGTAGAACGATGAAGAGAAAGGCATCAAAGTAAAAACTCTACTCAAAAGGGGAAGTTTTGCTTTAAGGCCTCCACCTCCCCCCTCCTCTTTCACATTTGGCAAACTTTTTGGGAGGGGGGGGTACCTGATTTTGACAGGTACCCGCTCCCACTTCCGCCCGGATGGCCTAGGTGATCGGAACAGAATTTCTCCCTCCACCCTCCCTCCCTGCAGTCTTCTGAGACACAGCACAGGTCCCAGAAGACTGTGGGACTAGTCACAGTGCACAGCACATCTCGCGCATTTGCAGTGGGCACCTGGCTGTGAAGCCGCACGCTGTCACAGCCAGATGCTCACAGCTAATATGCCATCGCCAATACATGGCGCCCCCTTGGGTGAGCACACTGGTGGATCCAGGGACAGGTAAGTGTTTGTTTACATAAAGTCAGTAGCTAAAGCTTTTGTAGCTGTTCACTTTTAGTTTTTAAAAAAATGACTGGAGCTCCGCTTTAACTTCACTACATGAGCACATTTAGACATGCCCACTGCCAAAAAACAGAAGCGGAAAGACTGGGATGTCATGTAATGGGCCAAAACACAGCTGGGATTTAAGGCACAGTGCCTTGAAAAAATATTCATACCCTTTGAAATTTTCCACATTTTGTCATGTTACAAACAAAAACTGAAATTTATTTTATTGGGATTTTATGTGATAGACCAACACAAAGTGGCACATAATTGTGAAGTGGAAGGAAAATGATCAATGGTTTTCAACATTTTTTACAAATAAATATCTGAAAAGTGTGGCATGCATTTGTATTCAGCCCCCTTTACTCTGATATCCCTAACTAAAGACTAGTGGAACCAATTGCCTTCAGAAGTCACCTAATTAGTAAATTCCACAGTCCACCTGTGTGTCATGTAATCTCAGTATAAATATAGCTGTTCTGTGAAGCCCTCAGAGGTTTGTTAGAGAACATTCGTGAACAACAGCATCATGAAGGCCAAGGAGAAGTTTAAAGCAGGGTTAGGTTATAAAAAAAATATTCCAAGTCAGGGGCGGACTGACAACTCATGGGGCCCCCGGGCAATAGGGGATCATGGGGCCCCTGTGTCCTTGCCCAAACTCAAAAAAGACTATGAAAAAGGTACAAGGGGCATCTCATGGGGCCCCCTACTGACCCCAGGCCCTCAGGCAGTGCCCGAGTTTCCAAATGGTCAGTCCACCCCTGTTCCAAGTTTTAAACATCTCACGGAGCACTGTTCAATCAATCCTCCGAAAAGGGAAAAAGTATGGCACAACTGCATACCTACCAAGACATGGCCGTCCACCTAAACTGACAGGTTGGGCAAGGAGAGCATTAATCAGAGAAGCAGCCAATAGGCCCATGGTAACTCTGGAACTGCAGAGA